ACTGTTGTAAGGTCTATTTTATACTGTTTATGCTTTTGGTCTGTATCGGAACATGACATCCCGAGATTTTGTTATTGAATGAAAATACACTTCTTCAAGAAACGTTTTGATAGATTTTTATCATATTTTGTTTTGGGAACAAATTCCGCAACTCTTTTAATCAAAGGATTACTCTGATTTTATAAATCAAAGCATAAACAAATCGGTCTTTTCTGGCCGTGAAATTGGGGATGTCACACCCTTTGATCCTAACAATGATTCATCACTTTTCATCATCATCTTCAAGATCTTCAAGGTGTTCATAGGGACGTCAACCACTCTTTGGCCGTGAACCCTTCATCAAGGGTCGTGAACCCTTCTTAGATCCAAGTTAGGGCCGTGAACACTTCATGTGTTCTTGGACCGTGAACCATCCCAAGGCCGTGAACACCTCATGTGTGGCCGTGAACACCATTCAACCTCCTAACTTTGATTCTAACACTTCTTTGTAAGTGTTTCTTAGTTCCTAAGGTTGGTTACCATACTTATTAGTTGTTATAGGCCCTAATTCCATACATATATGTGTTATTATATGTTAAATAGGATCCGTTTGTGCTCGGGACTTCATTTGGCATACTTAGCATCCTATATTAAACTTTCATCCGATCCACTCACATCAGGTGAGTTCATACCCCTATAATCTACCTTTTAAATGATTTTAAATGCTTTTTAGGGGGGGGGGGGGGGAATACAAGTTGAACACAATCTAATTGTGTTAGTAAATACTTGTGATATCAATCACATAAAATATTTCCTTTTGCTTAGAATCTTTATTTTTAAAATAAAGGATTACCCAATACTCCCATAATGACTTAAAGTTATGTGAACTCTTTTCAAAATCACATAAACTCTTTTAAAGATACCTTTAAACTCTTTGAAATGTATTTATAACTCTTTTATCTTATAATTGTCAAAATGATGTTCATATATGTATAAGTATGTAAATAAGACTTAAAGGGCTTAGGACTAATGAGTTGCCTTATTTCCTTTTCCTTGTTTGGATGTAGGATTAAGGTGGGGTTATTTGTCCGAAGGCCGTTTCCTTCTTAATTATATACATTATACATATGGGAATATAAAAGATTACTTCAGTCAGTATCATTACCTTTGTATCATGTTGAGCAAAGGGGTACATTCAGGAGAGATCATGCTAATCAGATAGAACGTATAAATTATAATAGGTATAATTTATGAAACAAACGAGAAATCTATTTTGATAGATAAGTATACGAGGTCTAAATTAATTTTTCAAGAAAAGGATATACTTCGATCTTTAATCAAACTAAAATGTGATGGTATGTATTCAGGACATAGCAATACTTGCTATGCTACATTCTTGTAACCAGAGTCTGTTGGAGGGAGAGCGGATTGTGTGTATAGATCTATACGGGACTGACAATCCCACATCCCGACTGCTAGCTACAGTCCGTCAGACCAGCCATGAGGTGACAAATGTCACATATTCAGTTTCGACACCAGTAGGTCGTTATGTTCATTCTAGTCCAGTATGGTTACAACTTTATCACATTTTAAACCCTAATTAACCAGGTTAATATTAGGGTAATTATTCTTCAGTAGTTTTATTTTTAAGAAATACTATTGTATTAATCACTTTCCATAAACAAAACGGATCGGTTTTATGGGGATTTAAAACTACTTTACAGAATGGTTTTATGGGGATTTAAAACTACTTAATAGAACGGTTTTATGGGGATTTAAAACTACTTAATAGAATGGTTTTATGGGATTAAAACTACTTATCAGTTGTAAAGCAGAAAATATAGAATTTTCTAGAACGTAATCAGTCACTTTCTCAAAACTAGTATAGCATAAAGGACTTTAATGGTTAATTCTATAATTCCTTAGTTTATACATCAGAGTTATATATAAGTAATATTCGATTGGCAGTGGAATGTGTGACTTCCGCCTTACTTCCTGTTCCTTGTTTGGTTGTGGGCTTAGGGCAGATTCACACATTTAGCTGTCCGTTCGATATTAGGTTATATATAACTAGTATAAACTAAGTAATTGTAGAGGGAACTATTATGGTTATCATTTTATCACGTCAGAAAATATAGAATTTTCTGGAGGAACCAACAAATTTTTCCAAGAACTTAGAGTATACTTTATATAACTAAAATACTTATGAACTCACCAACTTAAATGTTGATCTACTTTTTCAAAATAACTTGTATTCTCAGGAATCCAGTAGTCAGGTACACTCCCGAAACTTTTGAGAAGACTGCCTAGTACCGTACTGCATCTTATGCCTTCTATTGTATCTACCTTGATGTTTGAATATGTAATGTTTAAACACTTATGTAAAACTTATACTTATTAATGAAATGGTTGTTTGTACTTTGATTACTATAATGCATGTGTTGTGATACTTACATGACGTTCTCCGCCCCCGAACGTTTCCGCCGTTCTGGTATGGGGGTGTGACAAGACTCTTCTTTCATATCAAGAGCTTTGAAACTCTTCATTCAATCAGTATTCATATCTCAAACTATATATCACATTATACATACGCCAAAGTTCACAGAGTAACTGAAGGAATAATCGAATTTCCCAAAGTGAGCAACCAAAATTAGGGTTTCTCCGTCAATCTTGATGATAAAGCAATAATAGAGTGAATTGTGAGAAATATTGATGTTTAGACTTTAGAGAAACTGATTTTCCTGGAAGGTGTAATGTTAATTAGAAAAGACGATGATCAAAGCAACCAACACAAAGAAAATGAAACTGAGAGCAACGTCTCGTGGTGTCGTTCGAGCTGGGGTAAAAAGAAATTATAGAAGAAAATGAACTTTTATAAACTTTAAAAATATTTTAAGATTTTTTTAATCTAGAAATGATAAATAAACAAAAGTAAATTAAAAAAGAAATTATTAAGGGCAAAATAATCTTTTTATGTCCGTAGGGATGAAGTGTGCAACTTTTAATGACATGAGGGACGATCCGAGTTAATTTTTGAAAATAGGGATTAAACATGCTTTTTGACACCTGCACGAGGGACGATTCATGTAATTTACCCTCGGAAATTTATATAAAATCATAAATTATGTGATCAAAACTTATAAACTACAAGACAAAGTTTTTTCTATATCATTTGATAATGCATTCAATAACAACATTGAAGGTGTAAAAAAAACTCTCAAGCAAATGCTTTAAAGGTGTAAAACAACTGTCAACCAAATGCTTCATGATATTTTTATTTATATTAACGCTTAATATCATAAATATATTAAGTTTTGTGTTGATGTGAATGCCTTTTTCTTAGGTCCGAATTGGGATGTATCTACTCGATGGAACTCCACTTGTAACATGTTTGAATGCGGTTTACGTCATAAAGATACTTTAAAATGTTTTATGACAACCTTGTGGAACGTAATCGAGTTATGCCTTATTCGAAATCAAGTTGACATACTCTCAAACTTAATTGTTTCCAAAAATGCTTAGAGTTTTTAAAAAATGCAATTACTTTTGTGTCACGAATTTATTATCCTCCAAGTTGTTTAACTTTAAATCGAATACTTTTAATGTGTTCGAAAATAAACGAGATTGAAATGAGGGGTGATATGTTTGAAAATGGTGAAACCAATGAAATGCAAGTTTTATAAAATATTTCAAAAGTATGCCTCTGGTTATAAATTGTGCCAGCGTTTTGAACACGACTATAAATGTTGGCGGAGTTGATTATAACATTTCTTATTCTTATGATTTGAGTTTATTAGAAAAATATTAAGATTATGCTTCAAAAGAAATATCAACATTTAACAAAGTTCTTCAAAATTTGTTTGATGTTTTATTTAACAAAATACGATTCAACAAACATTCATGACATGATGCGAAATTTAGGAACATTTGGATCGACTTTTCATGATAATAGCTAAACAATTCGACTCTATAATACTTTCAAAAATAAAAATATCAAACGAGCTCGGTCTAGCACTCCTAGTAGTCAGCTTGAAAGGTATATTGGATCTGACTTTTTGGCACATATAAGTATATAAAGTTTGAGAATTTTGATATTTTGTCCGTGTGGAAAAATACGAAATCCCAATTTCCGATTCTAGCCGCTATGGTCCGTGATGTACTAACCATTCAAACTTCTACAATTGCTTTGGAATTTGTTTTTTCTATTAGTGGCCGGGTTATATAACCTAGAAGAACAAAACTTACCTCTTTGTCAGTGGAAGTAAGCATATGCTTGAAAGACTACTTAGATGGCATTGAACGAATATAAAATATTTCACCACTAAAAGACGAGTTGTTGAGGGTTGAACAAGAAATGGTAATGAGAATATAGGTACCATTTACCTTATAAGAACTTGCATATGAATCAAAATTAAGCGACATGAAGGAGGATGACTAAATCCAAACAACAAAAAGGATGATTAATTAAAACAAAAACGATTATGTTTAATGTTTTTATGTTTGAATAGGTATTATTGTAATGTTTTATATATTTTTATGAAAAAAAAAAACAATGAAAAATGCCTTATGCCTTCTGTAGTAATGCTTTCAGAGTTTACTCACTGCCACATTAATTCTTTATTTTTGATGTCTCCTTGGGCCAAATACAAAACCATACAAATTACAAATTCGCTTCGGAAATTAAGAGGGTGTTTGGGATTTCATCTAAAATCTCCTTTTAAACTTATTGACTTTTTGAAAAATCAATAAGTTAAAAAAAAGTGTTTGGATAAAATAACTTTTGGTTTAGCCTTTGCAAAGGAGTTTTGAAGAAGTTACAATTTATGACTTTTTGGAATGACTTATAACTTATTAGAATAAAAACGAGCAAAAAGTCAATAAGTTAGCCAAACACTTTTTAACTTATTAACTTATTGACTTTTGTCACTAAAAAGCTAAACCAAACACTTTTTAAAAATCTTCTTGTCCCACATTAATAAGTCAATAAGTCCTTTTACATAAAAGTCTCTTTTAACTTCAAAATGAAATCCCAAACACCCTCTAAATGGGCTGTCATTACCGAGAAGAACAATTACAAACAACAAAACAGGGTGAAAATATTTTCAATTTTGCCTGTTTTTTCCGAACCGGTTTCCCCTAAACCAGTGTCAATTCGATCCGATTTCTATACCGCTATACGCTTGAGTATGTTCCGGTTTAAACCGGTTTGGAATCGACCCGGTTTTGACTTGTTTGACTCGATCCCATCCGATTTGGGCACTGCCACAGTGCCACTTCTACCACCAAGCCACCAACCCCTGTGTTTTCTTTATATGTGATCCACTTCTTCATTGTTTCTTTTTCCATGGAGGCTACGCTGCTCAGAATCCCCTTTTCTCCTGCCATCTCCGCTACTTCTTTGTCTAAATCTTGTAGATCGATCACTCCATTTCGTCCTCCAATGTAGAAGAACTGGAACTTACAGATATCCAATTCAGGGGTTTCGAAGAATGGCGTTCAATCCGTTCAAGCATCTGCGACTTCATTTGGGTAAGTTATCTTCACATCGTCTTCGAATTTCTCGGAATTTTATCGATTCGAACTCTTTAATTGTAATTTTGACATATAATTTTTAGGGTTCTTTCCGATCCCAGTTTGTTCACATTCCAATACTTTTCAGAGAACAATGTCACATATGTTCATTTGTTTCCTTATAGATCAAAGAATGAGACACGAGTAGACGAGAGTGAAATCTATACTCTTGATGGTATAAGAAGTTCTTTAATTCGACAAGAAGATAGCATTATATTTAGCCTTGTAGAAAGAGCTCAATTTTGCTACAATGAGGATACATATGACCCTAATGCTTTCTTCATGGATGGCTTCAAAGGTTCTTTAGTTGAGTTCATGGTCAAAGAAACCGAAAAAGTCCATGCTCAGGTAATTCAAATTCAAATCCACAATTTCACATTCTATGACAAAAATTGATGATTTCATCATAAAAGATAACGACTTTTCACCCTTTTCTTATAACAGGTTGGAAGATACAAGAGCCCTGATGAACACCCGTTTTTCCCAAAAGACTTACCTGACCCTATGTTGCCCCCATTGGAATACCCACAGGTAATGATAGTTAGAAAAATGAGTTCTTTTATTGGTTTTATTGGGTTTATATCAGTTTTTTTATTGATATAATAAATATAGGTGTTGCATCCTTGTGCTCAAGATATTAATATTAACCTCAAAATATGGGATATATACTTCAAAGATCTTCTCCCTAGACTTGTAAAGGAAGGAAATGATGGTAATTGTGGATCAGCAGCAACCTGTGACTCCACCTGCTTGCAGGTATGAATTTTAATTTTTAAAAAAATTATTTCAGAAAACGGAGGGCAAATTAGTAAAAAAACAATCTTTACTTCGTGTTAATATGCAGGCCCGCCCTGTCTAAACGAATTCACTATGGTAAATTCGTAGCGGAAGCAAAATTCCGAGCTTCACCTTCTGATTATGAAGCTGCGATTAAAGCGCAAGTGAGAATCAATCCTAATGTATTCGTTATTATTTTTGGTTTCACAAGGGTATAATGGTAATTTTCGAGATGCAGGATAAGAAAAAACTGATGGATTTATTGAGGTATCCGGCTATGGAAGAAGCAATCAAGAAACGGGTGGAAACAAAAGCCAAGACTTTTGGGCAAGTGGTGACTGTTGGGTTTGGGGAAGATGCGATTGAGCCTGTGTATAAAATAGAACCCACTTTGGTTGCGGATCTTTATGGGGATTGGATTATGCCATTGACAAAAGAAGTACAAGTTGAGTACTTGTTGAGAAGATTAGATTGAATGATTGAATGAATGTGTATGAATTGTGTTTTTTTTTTCAAAGATATATGAAACTTTTTAACACGATTTGGTAGAAATTAGTGGAGGTATTGATGATCGAAGAAATCTCAAACGAGTTTGAATCGACTTTGGATGAATGTCTTTTGGAATTTTTGAAAGTAATGGAATCTAGAAAAGGAATTGAAATATGAGAAGATTTGAATCCCGAGAATTATAATCTATCGTGTGTTTGTTTAGCGGGAAATTGGATGAAAGTGATGATAAAAATTTATATAATTTTTAAAGTTTTATTAATATTTGAATAATTTTGTTCATTACAAATTTGATTTTTGTGCTTTACTCAAAACAGCTAAAAAACGTCTGGACGATTTTGACTGTAGTGCAAAACCTCCCCTAAAAGTAAACGATTAATGTAGAAATTTCAAATTTAATTTAGCAAAAAATTGTCTGATCTTAAAGAAACGTAATGTAAAGATGAAAAAAATTTTTGTATGACCAACGTTGTGTAACCAAAGTAGCTATTTGACCAAAACTACTTTATTGCAAAAGTTGTATGGATAAAAATGTATGACCAAAGCAGATGGCTAAAGCTTGTATATAAAATTTTGGAAAATAGTTATAACCTTTTTTTTGTAATTGCAAACGATTTTTTAAACCATATTTTTTTTTCATCCTTATCAGTTTTATGTATTTCTTGAGAGTCTAAATAGCCGATATAATTCAATTTTTTGAATCAACAAGTTTATTACTTTATTGACAAGTTTATTCCTTTGTTTATTGTGCATAGGTGTTTTGTAATGAGATAATCTTGCGGATAAACCTACTTGCGGATAAACCTACGAATGTAGCAGGTTTTAACCCTAATCAGATCCAAACCTATAAGAATTATGTGAGTTTAGATCTTAGTTTTTTATTCGTTTACTTGTTTATGAGTCTATGACAATTAGCCATTTTATTATATGGGTTAGGTATGGAACTATGGATTATTATTGATCATTTCCATTTATAACTAGCTCCATTAAAGAATAAGACTCTTTGAAATTTGTTAATAATGTTTTTACGGTAAGGTTGATTCGTTCCAAATCCATTCTATTAGGAGGATTGCCTGACATTATATTTGTTGATTTAAAGCATATGATGCAAAAAATTTTAAGCGAAAATAAAAACGCGATGTAATCACTATACAAGCAACCTCGTTGCTTTGATCCACAACATAACATTTTTTTTTCTTTTTTTGAATTTTACCCACGTATTTTTCAATAGTGACAAAATAATGAACTTTAATCTAAGTATTTTATTTTGTTTCTTATACAATTAAGCTATATTCCACACATTAGTTATTTGCAGAAATTCTCCATTAACACGTAATTCTTAATTTCGATTAATATCCGATCCGTAATATCCTCTTGTTATGTGTCGGTAATGTGAAAGGAGGTTTTTGCAAAAATTATCCATTAACGCGTATTTCTTAATTTCGATTAATATACGATTCGTAATATCCTCTTGTTATCGAATGCTCCAACGATGGGTTTCGTCGGTCAACGAACGATTATGTGTCGGTAATGTGAAAGGAGATTACGGTTGACAAGGCCAAGGAAAATATAATATACGTGTTAGTTGGTAATTTCGTAAATCTTTAGCAATATTGTTTAATTAAATTTTATTGTTTAGGAAAATAATAAAACTTCTTGATGCGTAAGTTTCAATCAAAATAGGCAGTGTCCTTGATTGCTGAAGCAAATATATTATAAGTAGTTTAAATATTAAATTACGATGCGGTATTTAATTAAAATACGCAATGAATTAATTATTAATAGATGCAAATTTGAAAAGAAAAAAAGAAAGGATATTTTGTTTTCTTATAATAAAACTAGGTGTATGACCCATGAGTTCATTTAAAAAATTTATAATATTACAAATATTTGAGAAGTTGAATTTATAAAAAAAATAGAAAAATATTAAATTATTAAATTACTAATGGACTTTAATTTAGAAATTTTGAAATTAAAATAAAAGTCAATTAATGAAATTGAAGTGCCTTTATTTTTATATTTATTGCAATTAATATATTTAATAAAAATGAAACAACCACAAAATGCCATGTGGAAAAATTTTAATTGAAAATAACCACAAAATGACATGTGGTCAAATCAATGAGAATGTGATAAGTGGCAAAAAGTTCTTTATTTATTAGGGATGATACGGAAAACACGCTATATGAAATGAACAAAAATTAAACTGTGTTGTGCGTAAAATCTTACATTCTTTAAAGGGTAAATTGCACGGATGGTCCCTGTGGTTTGGGGTAACCTGCGCCTAGTCCCTGAGCAAGATTTTTAACTCGGATGATCCCTAATGTTAAAATTCGTAGCCCGCCTGGTCCCTCACTTAACATTCCGTCTAGTTGCTTCGTTAAAACACCCCACGTGCAAGGCACACAGGGGCATTTTTGTCTTTTTAATATTCTTGAGTTACCGCCATGTTGTATACGAAGAGACGATCATTTTCTCAGTACTTCATCTTTCCGTTAAGAAAACCCAGACAAAAATTTCACAGTCAAGATAAGAAAACCCTAATCGTGATATCTTTGTCTCTGAAACGCAATGATGTTGTGACGTATACGTGCAAATATGGAGGAAATTGATGTTGGACGTCGTTACTGTAAGTATTCTTTCACTCTTAATCTTCTATAACTTCGATTTTGTTGAAATCTAAGCTGAAGTGGGTTATTTCACAGGGGGCATCCGACAATCTTTTCCATTAGCTTGTACCATGGTGGAGAGTTCACCAAATTTCCTGGAAAGAAAGTACATCAAAGGAAAACAAACGTATATGGATTTACTCGACATGGATACTTTCTCAGTGCATGACATTAATGAAATGATGGAACAGTTAGGCTATGTTGATGAAGGTATACCTTTGTACTATCACTTTAAACGACCATTTTCAGATTTAGATTTCGAGTTATTTGCTTTGGGTAGTGACCAGGATGTGAGACATCTGGGTACCTTCATTTCCAAGCATAAGTTGATTGAAGTCTATATTGAGCATGGAAAAACTCAATTACATACGTACACAATGTCCCCAAATCAATCAAAAATTCAAATAAAGGAAATTATTGAACCTCCAACATGTTCTCGTAGACTTTTCTTAGATTGGTATGATACTGGGGGGAAAAATGTTGTTGGGGATGCTTCTAAAGAGGCTAATGTATTGGACCCATGAGTTCATTTAAAAAATTTATAATATTACAAATATTTGAGAAGTTGAATTTATAAAAAAAATAGAAAAATATTAAATTATTAAATTACTAATGGACTTTAATTTAGAAATTTTGAAATTAAAATAAAAGTCAATTAATGAAATTGAAATGCCTTTATTCTTATATTTATTGCAATTAATACATTTAATAAAAATGAAACAACCACAAAATGCCATGTGGAAAAAATTTAATTGAAAATAACCACAAAATGACATGTGGCCAAATCAATGAGAATGTGATAAGTGGCAAAAAGTTCTTTATTTATTAGGGATGATACGGAAAACACGCTATATGAAATGAACAAAAATTAAACTGTGTTGTGCGTAAAATCTTACATTCTTTAAAGGGTAAATTGCACGGATGGTCCCTGTGGTTTGGGGTAACCTGCGCGCCTAGTCCCTGAACAAGATTTTTAACTCGGATGATCCCTAATGTTAAAATTCGTAGCCCGCCTGGTCCCTCACTTAACATTCCGTCTAGTTGCTCCGTTAAAACACCCCACGTGCAAGGCACACAGGGGCATTTTTGTCTTTTTAATATTCTTGAGTTACCGCCATGTTGTATACGAAGAGACGATCATTTTCTCAGTACTTCATCTTTCCGTTAAGAAAACCCAGACAAAAATTTCACAGTCAAGATAAGAAAACCCTAATCGTGATATCTTCGTCTCTGAAACGCAATGGTGTTGTGGCGTATACGTGCAAATATGGAGGAAATTGATGTTGGACGTCGTTACTGTAAGTATTCTTTCACTCTTAATCTTCTATAACTTCGATTTTGTTGAAATCTAAGCTGAAGTGGGTTATTTCACAGGGGGGCATCCGACAATCTTTTCCATTAGCTTGTACCATGGTGGAGAGTTCACCAAATTTCCTGGAAAGAAAGTACATCAAAGGAAAACAAACGTATATGGATTTACTCGACATGGATACTTTCTCAGTGCATGACATTAATGAAATGATGGAACAGTTAGGCTATGTTGATGAAGGTATACCTTTGTACTATCACTTTAAACGACCTTTTTCAGATTTAAATTTCGAGTTATTTGCTTTGGTTAGTGACCAGGATGTGAGACATCTGGGTACCTTCATTTCCAAGCATAAGTTGATTGAAGTCTATATTGAGCATGGAAAAACCCAATTACATACATACACAATGTCCCCAAATCAATCAAAAATTCAAATAAAGGAAATTATTGAACCTCCAACATGTTCTCGTAGACTTTTCTTAGATTGGTATGATACTGGGGGGAAAAATGTTGTTGGGGATGCTTCTAAAGAGGCTAATGTAGTGGACCTCACTGGAAATGACAATATGGACTTAACTGTTATTGATAATGGGGATAATAACACAAGGAAGAAAATCCATGTGCTGAATTTGAAATTGGGGAAAAATTTGAGCAACAAATGAAGTTGAATTTGGGGATGGTAACAAGGATGGAGAAGATCCATGGGCTGAATTTGAAAGTGGGGACAAATTTGAGGACATAAATGAAGATGAATTTGGAAGTGGGGAAAAATTTGGGGATGATAGTGGTTATGAATCCAGTGAGTCCGATGACATAGACTTTTATGTTGACAATGACAACATCTTAGATGATGTAGAAGTTGACATGAATGATTTCAATGATAACATTGATATGGATGCAGAGTGGGTTGTGATGGATATTGAGCATTTTAACACTTCCTAAGTGTACATGCAACCCTAATAACCTTGGATCTATGTTTTTCTAATTATCATGCAAAGTTGAATTCCAAGGTTATATTCCTATCTAGCATACATGGGGAACAAATTTTAACTTGCATGAAAGATAGAATAACTTACCTTGTTGTTGCTTATGATCCTTGAAACCTTGTGAGCCTAGCACCCCAAGTGTGATGCCTCAAATGCTTCACACAACACCAAATGCTTTTGG